CCTTCCTTCTTTTGTACAATCACCTCTCTTGCGTCTTGTATCTTGGCCGTATCCTCGTTTGGTGAGTTTTGAGCCGAGCTTGGAATCACCTTTTTCCCTTTTGCGGGTGGCCTTTTGTGCTATCGTGGATCTGATAGACTTTCCTCCCTGTCTGATGATCCCTGCCACTCTGTGGACGACTCACTGGTCCGTCCTTTGGAATCCGTGCTCCTTCATTCCGCCGGAATGAAGCCTCCTTTGAATCCTCGTGTCTCTGTTCTTCTGCTCATTGTGTATTGGTGGATGAAATTGACTGTTTTATGGTCGGACTGTTTATTTTTGAATTTGCTGGATGAGAAAGAGCTGACTGCTTGTTGGCAAATTTTGAGTGAAACTTAAATTGATTGTGAGTTCGCAATTGACCGCGTGCGGAAAGTTTGGAATGTTTAGTTGTTAATTGAGTGTTTAGGTTAGAATCTAATAACCCTTTGATTTTCGCGCGTTTTTTGATCAGCTCATACGGTGCTTTGTTTTGATTGGCCAGATTATTTAGAATGACGTTGTCAATCAATTTGAGATTATTCATGAATGCATTAATTGATGCTACAACAAATTCTTCATCAGACTCGCTGGGGGTATTGCCAATCCAACTGGATTTCGGGACATATAGTCTATTGGCTCCATTTTGTTCCCCGCGAGGTGTTTGATATCAAAATGGAATGGTATTAGGCAATCAATCCACCGTGTGAGCCGGTTTTGACTTGTTTTTGATCTTTCACTTGAACTTAAAGCGCTGACTAAAGCTTGATGGTCTGTAATGACGGTGAAATGTTTTCCATAAAAATAGTTTTTGAAATGTTCAATTTCCCAAACTACCCCTAATAGTTCTAGTTCGTTTACCAAATATTTTTCCTCGAGGGAGTTCAGGAAGCGTGATGCATAAGCTACGGCTGTCCAACTTTCTTGTGAATATTGTTCTAATGCTGCCCCTAACCCTGTGTTAGATGCGTCGCGAGTTTCTAATTGTTGGTCGATATGTTTATTTTGTGCTATTTCAGCTACTAATTTTAATATATTTTAAAAAACTTTGTTGTGTTCTGTTGACCAGTCAATTGGTTTTCCCTTTTCTGTGTTTTTAGTAGTGGTCGTAGAGCGACGACTGCTTGTGCTAAATTTGGTATATATCGCGTGAGGTGGTGTATTGACCCCATAAAATTTTTTGATTGTTTAAATGTTTTTGGTGCTGAGAGTTCTTCTATTGCCTCGGTTTTCTTTATGAGCGGTGTTGTTCCTTCGCTAGTGATGTTAAACCCTAACCACTCAATCTGCTTACAAAGGAACTTACATTTCTCAAGTGATATTGCAAGGTTTTCTTCGTCTATTCTTTCCAAAACGGCTTTTAGATTCTGTTGATGCAATTCTGTGGACCCTTTAGTGAGTATCAGTATTTCGTCTAAGTATGCGTACGTGTTCGTGCAGTTTGTTATTGTTAGGTCAATTGCTTTTCGGAATTTGGCTGGCATATCCTTAAGGCCGTAAAAACCTGTCTGGAATTGATACGTTACCGTCGCGTTGCCACCGATTAAACTAGAGTTGCATTGATCGCGCGTTGACTTATCCAACGGGGTTTGAGAGTATGCGTAACGAAGATCAAGTTTCGAAAACAACGTCTGTTTTGTTTTGTCTGATTTAACGACTTGGGCAATGTTATCCAGCAAAAAAAATGGTGTTACGCATTTGATATTTGTTTTTGTGAATAATTTTATTTATTTTCTTTGAATCCAACGCGAGTTTGACTGTCCGATCCTTTTTTTACTGTTATGACAATTGGACTGATAAATTGTCGGTCTGAACATTTGTCTAATTTGATAATGTGTTTCTGTTCGATTAGTTTGTTTAGTTCCCTTTCCACACGTTCTTGGAGATGTATTGGGGTGCGTCGACCTTTTTATTGATTTGGTACGAACTCTTTAACGAAATGTGTCCTCATCGTGTGATTTTTTGATTTTCCGATACGTACGCATAGTTGTTGAAAAATGTCTTTGACCCATTGTTGAATTTCTGGACCGGCCTCTTCTTGTTCTCGGATAATATGTACAATTTGTTTGTGCTGCTCTTGAATTAGCTTGATGCCTAATTGCGGTAAGATATTGCGTCCTTTAATATTTCCATTCTTTATCATCTACCACAATAAATGGAGCTGATTGTATTTTCCAGCCTCCTGACTTGATAGTTATTATCAACCATCCCTTCGGAATGATCGTTTCGCCATTGTTACAAGCTATGTTCCGTGCGATGTCTCCTGTTGGAATGGTTTTGAATAGTGGCTTTTAGTCGTATTCTTGAATGCGCAGTGCGGTTTTTTTCGTTCAGGAACGACATCGGGCTTCCCGAATCGGCTATAGCGTATAATTGCTCTGTATTTGTCTTTAATTTAACGATGTGTCCGTTTAAGTCTTCTTCAGCTAGTGTGTATTTGTGTTTTTAATTTCAAACGACACTGTGATTGCCATAACCGAAAATTTGTCTATTTGATAATCGTCCCAACCATTGCTTGAAGTAAATTCAGCGAAGGCCACTTGGTCGTTTTCAGTTTCTAGACTTTCTCTCTCCAGCTCCTCCTGTTGATCTTCTTGTCTGTCCTCTAAGTATTTTATGTGTCTGGACCGGCATCCTTTAGCGAAATGACCCCTCTTGTTGCATTTTGAGCAAACCTATTTTTGGCCTTGCAGGACTGTAAGTGGTTTTGGCGTTTATAACACTGTTTTTGACTGTTTATGTTTGTATTTCTTTGTTGTCCTCTTGCGTTTTGTGATCCACGTGAGAAAGGTCGCCCCCGAGCGACTCAACCTCTTTGTGTGTTTGATTTATTAGAGTAGTTATAGCGGCCCCGCGTGTTTATGTAGTTGACCTGTTCTTGTTTTGGTGTAATGTTATGTCCTCCGAAAGGGTTTATTTTCATTGTACGACTGTGTTCAGTTCCTTTTTCTCGACGTAATGCGTACTCGTACGCATCATGTCGACTCCTTGTTTGTGCTCACAGTTCTTCTGCGATCTTGTCATTGTTCATGTGTGCTGTGAACATGTCTCTCACCTATTCGTCTTCTCGGTCGCCGCAGTCTGCTCGTGACGCTAATTCGACTAGATCCGCGTGAAATTGTTCTACACTTTCTGTTTTCTTATGTTTCCTGCAGATGAAATTATATCTTTTAAAGGCGATTATCCTAGTTGTCACGAAAAAATCCTCGAGTGTTGTCATCAGTTCTTGTGTGGTGACGTTATGTAATTCCAAGTTAGGTCTTTTCTGTTGTATCTGTCTTTTTCCTTCCGGTCCTAAACATAAAAAAAGGTAGCTGCGCACTTTCGCGTCGGCTTCGTCCCATATAAATGAATTGCAAAGTACTCCTTTCTCCCGAGCTCTTATGACGTGGTTCTACCAACCAACTCTTCGTTTCTGAACTCTCTGTTCTTCTTTTGTGCCTCTGTTTCTCCCGTGATTTCAATTTCGTATACTGGCTCTGACGGTTCGACTAGCGGTGGTCTGGCTCTCAGTAGATTTGGCACTTCTATTCCATCCTTTGCGAATACAGCCATTTCCAAATTGCTGCCCACTTAGACCACTCTAGCGGTGGTTCAACAGATGCCTTCTCCCAGAACGTGGGTTTTTGGAGTATCCTGCCGACTGCGCCAAGTCATACCTCAACGTACGATCTTCTAATTCTGGAATCCGAATGGATCGATAAACTGATATTCTAATACGCAGCGAGATAAAAAACAACTGACTTTAACCAACGTTTATTTTGGTCTGACCGTTCATTCGGTCATCATTCGAGAGAAGGTCTCTCAAGGTCGACCAACCGGACGAATGTATGATTATAACATAAATCGCGTAGCATAAATAACATGTATATATATGGATCTAGATTTGTCGATCCATGCCGGATGACAATAGTACCAAAGGCAACCAGAATTGAAAAATGCAAACATCCGCTCCCCGCCCCCTTCGCGGGCCTATACAATGTGCGTGAGTGATCTAAATGATACATAATTTTACTGCAAACCCATTTTTAGAGTTCATATTTGACCAATAATTGTGATCTAGTTCACGCATTTAAATTAAGTTCAGAATTGGGCTTAAGGTACCTTAAACACATTTGATTTTTGTTAGGCCGCCGGATCTAATTAGCGGGTTTCTTACCAAAACACTCTTGTCAACAGGCAAGACAGTTCTTGACACTAGTTTCCGATGTTTATCAATACGCACCCACAGAGCGAACAGATAATTCAATTTGAGTCAAAAATATACACTATATTATTTCAAGCAAATTTCCAATTGGAACGGACATACTTAGCTCTCGATTTATCCACTTCAAAAAGTGTCATGCTTTGAAATTGGCAACGCCAAAAACCGTTTTTAATCTTCAAATTCTGGCTTTATTTCAAAATTTGAAAATTATCTAGCAATAAATAGATACCAACTAAACAGCAGAATGTTTTGGAACACAACAGAGGTTTATAAAACTGAACTTTGCTTGAATTTTAACATGTCTTCGCTTTGATAAGGTCAGTTGATTCCGTAATCACTTGACGAGGCTTCAACTTTTTTCAGTTGGTATGGATCTGAAAATCGTAATTGCTTTTTGCTGTCCAATTACCCTGTGCAACCCAGTTACTAAAGAAAACCCACATTGCAAAAATGAAGCAGGGCTTTGAAGCTTAGCATAAATTTTTAATTTCTCGTTTCTCTCTTCCTTATTTGAAGAGGCAGTACTACTCCGATAACTAAGCATAGACGCGTAGGCATAGAGTTACTTCCTCATTTGAGAACAAGAAAGCGGTGCACAATTGAGCACGCAATGTATCGATAGGTTAATGTACCAGACTAACTACAAAAAAAAAAACAGTTTTTTTAATTTTTAATTTTTTGAAGTAAGAAAAAATTATTTTTTTTATTTTCGGTTTTCGTTTTTTCCTGTGTTACTGTTTTGTGTGATACTGCTAGAATACGCAGTTTTCTTCAACACTTTGTTTTTTATTTTTAATCCAATCCAATTTTCTAAGGTACTGTTTGAGGTGGTTTATTTGCCAGTTACAGCTATTTATATATTCTGAGTATTATGCCCATTGCACATAGTGTCCAATAAACCTTATTAACTTACCACCATCTTTCCATACCATTAAAAATATCTATTCACCCAATTAAGCATTCACGCGCCAAATCATCTTAAATTTCCCTTCATTTCGAGCTTCTGACTTTCTTGCTCACATTTTTCCATTTCTTGGCAACGGCTAAACTTTTCTTACCTTCGCTTATTTTAATTGTAAAAGTGAATCAATTTCCTGCGCAGTAAATAGACAACAAAAACAAGTAAACTAAATTTACTTAACTTCAATTGCTTCGGTTTTGTGTGCAACTGGCGTGTTTTGAATTTAAAAAGCTTCAACTTTCCTATTTTCGCTAACCATTATTAATTTTTCCCTCTCGTGTTTGCTTTTAAACAAATTTTAGTTGATGTGATAAACAAGCGAGCTAACTTTATGTTCAGTCGGTTTGTTTTCAGATGCTACCCTTTTACTGTTTAATATTTTCACCAATTATTACCATTTTTGCCTTTTTGACAGCCTAATTTGTTTAAATTCCACCATTTCACATTCACAAAACCTGCCCTCATAACATCCCCAGGGAATGAAATCTAGTCACGGGGAATATTTGAACCGCAGCGGCGCCTGTAGCGCAAACCCGGGAGTCGAAACGATTAACTACCGTCATAGTCGTAGCCAAAGTTACAATTACGGAAATAGACCGCGTCAAACTGACATTAACAACAGTAACAGCGCGCAAAACAATTCCACTAATAACATTAATAACGAAAGTTCAATCAATCATAACAATCCTACCAATTATTCTTACCAGACTAACCAACGGTCAGTTAGCTATAACAGGACAGGTCATAGTGTTCGTTTTAAGTCGCCCTTCACAAGCAACAGTTTCGACTCAACTTCAGCATCCAACAGCGCGAGTTCGACTCCCATCCACTGCGTCACACCAGCGAGAGGCATGAAGACCCGCAAATTTATCAGCGAACAGGCTCAGATCTTTTTCCATCCTTGTATTTCTAACATATATCGTATTTGAAAAACTCAAAAAACAAACGAAGAGAAAAAACAGCAAAATGCTTGTTTCGCAATCCTTCAAATAGTAGAAAATGAGCATTTAAAATATTAGTATATCTAGTATAAAAAATATCTCTTCTGTCAAAAAAATTACCGGTTAAGTCTCAAAAAATAAAATAAGTCCATAAAACCTTAATTCGTTTCCTGAAGAGTACGTTTTTTTCACGCTGTATTGAATATCACTTCTGCTTCCAATTGAAATTTAAGGAACAGTAATCCTATATGCAACTTTTGCCTGATTTTATGCCATCCAATTTTGCGAGAGATTTTGGCTCAAAAATTATTTTAGTGTCAATTTTCTGTGCCATAGGCAGGGGCGGATCTGGGATTTTCTCGAAAGGGGCGGATTTTCAAAAAATTTTCGAAAATTTTGTCGAACTTTTTTTAGGTCGAACAAATTGAGTTTCTGAGCTCTCCCATGCACTTAAAAAACCCTGTTTTGGCCAAATTTTCTGCGCCGCACGCAAATTTTTGAAAAAAAAACAGGTCAAAAAAGGCGTTTTTTGCACTTTTTGGAAAAATTAGATAAGAAAAATTGCGTTTTTTTGGCGCGCGCTCCCCCCAAATTTAGTATATATTGGCACCAAAGGCGCCTTTAGAAAAATTTAGGTCCTGTCACCAAAATGGATATCTCTAAAAGTCAAAAGGGGGGATCCTTTGGCTCGGCAAGTGGTCCAATCCCTGAGGGAAAAGAACGTCCGTACCCCCCTCCCCCTCCCCCCTAAATCCTCCCAGGCCATAAGAAATAATTTACTTTTATTTATTTTGCCCACCAGTTTTAGTTGAAACAAACAGTTAATTAAGTATATTGCCCCCTCTCAGGGATTGAAACCCTGGCCACCTAAAAGGGCCTCCCTTTGGTACTTATTCAACGTTATCCGTTTTTGGCCAACAGCCCTAAAAATCTACTGCAGGCACCTTCGGCGCTAATAAGCACTTTTTGAGGGTGGCCCGCACCCAAATACGAAGCATTAAAAAACTTTCAAAAATGCTCAAAAAATTGGCAAATTGACTGCGGTGCAGTGCAGAATTGTTTGACTAAACGAAGGTCTATAAAGTGCTTTAGAAGTCGGGCAAGCATTTTCGTCGATGTAAAAAAATGGTCGAATTCGATTCTGTGGCTTTTTAAACCACTTAGATTCTTTGAAGATAGTTAGCCCCCGTTGCTATGTTTTAATGCCACCGAATGATGTTAGGAATGACTAAACCTTACTGCGTATAGTTAAATACTACATAGAAAAGTTCATTCGACCATTAAAAATTTATTGCCTTCTTGAATTGAGTGCGACGAGGTGTGTTTCCACCAGGTTATCTTTTTTCAAAGCAGACTTCAACTTAACTGGAAGCAATTATCAAGACCCCTCTGAATATTCCAGTAGGAACAAAAAAGCCATTGTTAGTTTCTATTGGCAAAAAAATTCATACTTTAGATTTCATTCGCAACGCATTGCTCTCCTTTTTAAGCGTTTGCTGTGGCGAATCATATTTAACACACAGCTAGCAAGACAAAAGCATGCAGAGCTAGTTTCAATTAAAAATTCGTTTGCAAAAATGTGTGTCAAAAAGTCAAATTTGCTTAACAAATTAGTTTAACGAGCAAAAAGATCCCCGCCTCGACCAGGACATTATGGGTACCCCGCAGAAATCAGGCTGCAACGCAAAGTACAATGCTTCGGGTCAGTTGATACCGAGACGGATCCTGATCGCGGTGGACGGGAGCGAGAACAGCGAGATGGCGTTCGACTGGTACATGAACAACCTCCGGGATGACAAACGAGACGTGTTGGTGTTACTGCACGTGAGCAATAGTTCCCACAGCATGCCCATACACTCGGGAGTGGACATACCACAAGTGAGAGGCTTTCCTTATTTTGTTCCCACCATGGAAAATGGGGAGGAACTTTGTATTTAGTTTTTTTCTTTTGTTTTCCACGCAAAATTAACTATCCGACTGGGTTGAGTTATATATCACTTTAAATCTCTTACAGTCGTAATTCAAACCACATAAAAATTATCAAAATGAATATCTCAGTGTCGAGAAAAACCGGTTTGAATTTTTTGATTTTTTGTCTTATTTCGAGCGAATAAAGCGAGCGAGCAGTCTTAATTTGATTTCTTGAAAGCTTACAATACCTTAATTTAAAAGCTATAAACTTAGTTTTACTTGAGTAACGTTAGTTTACATTGGATTGAGTATTTAAGCGCCTTTTTGGAATCTTAAGCGCCAAATTTTTTCGTTTTTACTGTAATTTTTCTATAAAAATGGTTTTTGAATTTGCTTACTTTACTATGAGTGTCGATTATACCTAATATCAAGTTTTTTCAGATCCTTGTATCACACCACGCCGAAAAAAGCGGCAATAATTTGAAAAAACTGCATTAATTTGGCTATTTTGCATAAAAACTAAAAAAAAAATTAGGCTGGTGTTAAATGGTATCCATAACTTAAAGTTGTAAACATGAATTCAAATTAAAAACAAGATCAAACGAGATAAATGATAAGTAAAACAAGAGTTTTCAAACTAACTGGCAGTTAAATATCAAACTAAATTGTTTAATCAAAAAACTACTTGCATTTCAATTTTTTCAGAATTATTGGTTCTATCAAAAACTTTTGGTGATGTTGAAAATCCAGGCGACGTATCTTTATAAACTGATCGCCCCTCTCTCAAATTTTATTGCTAATTTTTTCCAAAGGGTCCCTCTTTAGATAGTTTTATGAGATGCATTTGTGGCTGACCAACATCAAAAATTTTCTAAAGGCGCAATCAAAAAATTAAAACCAGTTTTTCTCGATAATCAAAATCGAAAACTTTTAACTTTTGCTCAATTCACGGCTAAAAAAGCCTTTATATGAAAAATGGGGCCAGTGCAACAGTGCCGAAAAAAAGTTCAACAGTGCCGAAATCGAAAAATTTGGTCAACAGTGCCGAAAACTTTTTTTTTGTTCAACAGTGCCGAAAAATTAAAAAACACTTCGGAAAGCTTGTTTTATATTTATTGATTCTAATAAATAATACATAAAATTTCCCAATGGTTTTCAATGTTTCAATTTCTCGATGCATATGATCGCTTCAATGCCGCCATTTGCTCCCTTTTTCTTGGCCTTCCGTGGAATATCTCCATTATGAAAAGATTTCAAGGCAAGTTTCGATATTTTTTCTTCTCGCTTCAGTTTTCTGATCAAAACCCAAAAAATTTGATGGATTCGGCCAATTTTTTTGTTCCAGCTATTGCGCCAATTTCACAACTGTTTTTGGTGGCCTGTGAAGCTGGGCTTTCATACAAATTCCAAATTCTTAATGGATATTGTCCATTGAGCCAAGTTTTTTCGAATAACTCAAAAGTTTTTGAAATTCGGTCGTAAAATCCAATCAAACAAAGTTTTTTTGATAGTACTTGATTCGAGTGTAGTTTGTTCTGACCAATCCGATAGGAAAATAAGGCAGAGTAAACAATTGTTGAATTATTTTGCGAATTTTTCGGTTTTGCCGATACTCAGTTGCTAGATGAATTTTTGGACTTTTTTGAAAACAGCTTGACAGAACGGAAATGACAGCCTGATTGCTGAGCTTCGGGGAAAAAATTGCGAACTGCTGCGGTAAATCCTTTTTCATTATCAGTCCAAAAAAATTGTTGAAAACCGTTTTCCAATTTTTTCGCATTTTAGTGCAAGAACGCTTAATAAGAATTTGAAACAATTTTTAGACTTGTTTGAAAGGAAGGCCAAAACCAAAGGAATAATCCACAAATTGTATTAATTTCAGTAAATGGCTCTGGCGCTGTTTTGAAAGTTTCATTGGCTAAAACTGTATCGCAATCCGCAACAATTTCAATAAAAATTCTGAGAAGAAACTGCTTTTGAGATAAAGTTTTGCCCCACGAATCGGAAAAAATATATCCGACACTGTTTGCGGTATCTCCGGTAGCTGTTTCCGAAAATTTATTACAAAATTTTTGGCAATTTCGGGAATTTTTTCTACCACATCTTCAGAAGATTTCGACATATTTTTGAGTGCTCATTTTTGACAGCTGACGAGAAAATTTTTTGGCAATTTTCTGCAGATTTTATGTGATTGTCGACCGCGGGAGGGGTGTGAATAGCTGGAAAATTAGTAATTTTGCTCAAATTAATGTCAATGGCGGTTGTCACGTGATAATTTTTCTGTACACAAATGTACAATTTTTTATTTTTTTTTCTGTATCGGTAGCCCGCAATTTCTAAATTTTGGGAACTAGCCCTTATTGAGGGAACAAATTTGAACATATTAAGTGCGGCAATCAGAAATTAATCGGCGATGAATTGCAATCCCAAGTGAAAACACTTTAAAGTTTTGAGCAAGAAAAATTGCCACTTCGACGTTTTGGCGCCAAATTAATTGTTTAATTTGCAATTGCAGATGTTTTGGCGCCAAAATTGGAGTGATTTTCTTTGTTAATTAACTTCAATAATTTTCCGTTCTTTAGAAAATGCGTTAAAATTATTTTGAAATTTCCCGCCTTTTTCGGCACTGTTGTACTTCGGCACTGTTGAACGCCCCCGATATATCACTAAGCCCATCATTACAAAATATCATAAGGGCTGTTTAAAAGTTTTCATGCCCGTTGTGCACAAAGAATTCAATATAATCGATTATAATCTGTGATAAACAGTCACAATTATTTTATTTAACAAAAAAAAGGAAAAATGGATTTTAAATGATTGAAGCATTCATGTAATTAGTTTTTTAAATAAAAAGGAGTTAAATAAGTTTTTAGTCAAACTTTTTTTGTTTAAACTGTAAAAACCCTAACAAAAAGCTTACTATGAATAACTATCAATGTTTGAAATGCAGCACGGGGCTTAAATACATTTAGTTCTCACAAACAGTTGCACCTGCATAAAACAAACCAACAAAACATTCTGAGAGAGCTATTAGACAGGGTAATCAGGGAGAAAAAAAAACAATTTTTGAAAACACTCAATTCTATCTAAACGAGCGAAGTTCAGCAACATAGAGCAGAAAAACTAATAAAGATTTTAAAACTCGGAAATTTTTATAGCTCGAAAAGAATGCTTAATACGCAACATATGGTTTGAAAAATCATCATTGAAAAAATTAGCAAATCATTTTCCAAATTTTTTTTTTCAAAACCTAAGCCAGATACCCGAGCAGAACATGATCAGCCCAAGAGCGCAATTAAAAAATTAAGTTTTCAAAACCTTGGTTTTCTACTTCTGACTTTGACCCACGCATTTGTCTTATTCGAAAATAAAAGTCATGAGACTTGTCATAATATTAGATCATTAAAAAAGAAGCCATTACAAAAGTTCAACTCCGAAAAAAGTTTTAAGTTTGCATGAACTTGAAAAAACTTCGGGGGTATTGAAGTAAGTTTGAGATCTACTTAACAATTACTCCAAACCCTTTGTTATCTACTAAAGAATTAGTATAAATGAAAGCAATAAATTAGCCTTAGAGCATTGTATTTAAAATAAGAATTTTGCTGCATTCTGATGGGTCGAAAATTCGACAAACACAATCTTCTTAACAATTACCCCCTTTCTTGAAAGATGGGATAATTATTAAATAGATCCGAAGTTTGAAACTTAGAATTTTTCTCGCTTTTTAGTGCTGCTTGTAAATTTTTCTCAGCATTTATTTCTTTTACTGACTTTCGGGGAAAGTGACTAAAACTTTCTGCATTTTTAAATATATTGATGCCATCAGTTCTCAATTATTAAGATATTCACTTCGATTAATTTTTATTGAAATACCAGTTTCGCATCATTCTTAATCATAATAATGAGCGGTTCTCAACAGTTTCGTAAATTAACCCGGCGGTAAATTAACTTGGCTGATAAATTATTCCGACTCGAGCTTAGGCAAGCTTATTGATCCACATAAAGGTTACTATAACTAGATGAGAAATCTGTCAGTTATGTATCTGATTTTGCGTATGAAAATAAAAGTAGCAAAAAAAGTAAATTCCGAAAAATATTAATTTTGATCTTAATTATTTTTAAACCAACAACGCATTTGTAAAAGGCAATCAGAAGAACATGCAAAGAAGATAAAGAACCAACCTGATAAATTAGTCTTGTTTCAATGAACTCTAATTTTGTAACTTTAGTAAGCAAAGTAATTAAAACTTTTATACCACGAACATACTTAACACTACGTACACACTTCTACATAAACACTTGATCAAATTAAAACCTTCGTGTTAGGCTAGCTAGAAACTTTATCCACAATGAAAATAAACCGAGATCCGAGTCGTTCAACTTTTTGAAAAAACCGTTGTTGTGCTACAGATTTGGACCTTCATGCAATTTCCACTTGATTTTTCTAGGCCTGGAGAAAAATTTTCGCACCTTTAAGCGATGAGTAATCTTCACTTGTCTATTCTTATATACACCAGTTAAGGCATAAAACATTCGGCCAAAAACCTGCAAATTGCGTAACGTAAGGATGGGTAGTACACTGCTCATTTTCCTAAAGTTGATTCGGAGAGGTCTGAAAACGGACAAGACGGTTTAATGACTATCTCTCAGACTAAAGTTTAATAGTTGTAAATGCGGTTGGATAGCAATCATTATTGTTCCGACTTTCGATACGAAAGTAACGGAATATTTGTGCTCGGGGTGGTTTTTTTTTCTTCAGACAAATTTCGACTTTTTAACTAGCCATTTTTGACGGAATTTTTATATATCTTTCACAAGGTATTGTTGTCCTGAGCTTAAATTTGAAAAGATATTTCACCTGTGATCATTTTTCGTAAAGTAATGAAGGTTTAAAGATTGCCATTTTGACCAATTTGGGACAATTAACGCGCGATATAATTAGCGCTATTAACGCGTAAGCGGAGATTTAATCAGTATTATAAATCGTTCCAAATTGGCTGAAAGAAGCTTATTTGCCATAATTGATATGTTACAAGGAGCGAAATCTATCCTGTTGTACTTCATATGGCGTGTGGGGGGATGATTTTCATAAAAAATTTCAAATTTTAGAAAAGGAATTTTCATTTTATTTTATTTCATTTAATTTTTAAATGTTTTTACTGCTGCTCCATAAACCTTAAAAGGCAGTCGGAACATTCAGGGCTTCGCCCTGATACGAGCAGTCTTGTTGGCATATTAGCCTGAATACAATTTATCATTTTTATTATACGCTTTCTAGCTTATCCATACTCAATTATTGTTCGCTTCGTTCCAGCGTAGTTTCGATGCCTTCAACGAGGCGAGGAGAAGCAGTTCGTCGCAGATAGTGACAGATGTGGTGGAGCTCTACGAGGACAAGGCCAGAGAGGCGGGTCTAAATTCCAGTGGGTACGAACTCATACACATGAACGACGGAAACACAGGTAGAAAGATAGACAGATGTGTTGAAACTTGCAGAAGTTGAAACCCAGACAAAAATTCCTAATTTTTGATATTTTGAGCTAACACCATCCTCAATATTTCCGTATCAATGATAATACTCTTGAAATTCATACGCAAAAAACATCAAATCGGATGCTTTAAAAACCAATTTACCTCATGACTTGGACATTTGAATTTATTTAATTTTTGAAGTGTGATTGATTAAGTCATTTTATGATTATCATTATTAAAATAATTTATACACAGAGGGGAAGAGGAGCTTTGCACCGCTTGCGATACAGCACAATGAAAACAGAAGTAAAAAAAATGAAAAATGTTTAAAAAAACAAGGTAAACCAAATTTTTGCATGTTTCGATGAAGGACACCTAAGACCTAGCTAAAACCGCAGGTACGCGTTTGATATTTTTTGAATTTGTTACACTGATGTGGGACGAAATGCGTTACATCAAAAATTGGACTTTGCCCAAAAACTTGATTGTTGCAAAACCGTAGTTAGTAGTTAGAAGTAAGAAGAGTGAAAACGTTTGAGAATTTGAAATTTCTCAGACAAAACTTTTCTCTTACAAAAAATAGAGTAGTCGCTTTTGCAGAAAAAACTCGCGCAACCGCTTCTTTCGATTGAAATTTACATCTATAATTTGATAGGGTAGTTTTTAAGAAAATAGGGTAACTGATTGGGTAGTTTTTCTCCCTTGAACACTTCGCTCGAAAATTACCGTGCCAATTCTCGAGTTGACACGGTAATTTTCGAGAATAGTAAAAATCCTCCGAAAACTATCAGTTTCAAAATTTTCACTTGTTTGAAGGCCATATCATAAAAAGAAATGCGGATGCAAATTATAAAAGTAAGCGTTCCACAACCTGCTAAGTCGATTAAACCTATGATATCAGATTTGGCAGGATAGTTATCGAAAAAAGTCCAAATAACGGTCCAGAAATCAGAAATTGAAATTTCCGAGAATTTCAGATTTTTTTAGGAAAAATAATTGGATGTAGCCGCTTTATGCCGAAGAGATTTAGTCAACTTGCATTTTCCAAATTTAAAAAAAATTGAAAAATCAAAAATTTGAAATTTCCGAGGGCCATTACTTTTTGTTTCAAAAAAACTTGGGCGGTGTCGAAGGAGCAACGGACCTTCCCACAACTCGTTCATTCGTTTGAACCCAAAATCTAATATGGGAGGATATTTTTTGGTAAAAATCAGATATTTGGAAAAACAACGCTCAAAAAATCAGAAAATTGACTTTTCTGAGGACGGTAACTTCTATGTAAAAAAGTAGCCGCTCATGCAGACGAGCTTTGTATTTATCCGTTGTCTCCGTTGAACTCATAACCTCAGGTTTGGGAGGTAAGTTTTCGAAAAATGTTTAAAAAAAGGTTCAAAAAACGGTCAAAAAAATTCCGAGAGCCATTATTTTATGTTTAGAAAAAATTTGGGCGTAGCCGCTTATGGAGGGGAGCTTTTCAGTTTTGATGTTTTCATTGAAACCAAATGCTCAGATTTGATAGGTTACTTATTGAGAAAACGAAAAAAAAATTCAAAAATGTCAGTCAAATATTCCCCCCACAGACTCTTGCGAAGGCTGTACACAAAGCGGTAAAGCAAAGAGAAACCAGCGGAGTATGCAGACGCACAAGAATGTAAGCGGTCTGTCTATGGATACCCTTCTTTGAAAACAGATAGTGTTTTCGAGAAAAAAAAACTTTTGCAAAACGTGATAAAATTTTCCAAAAAGTCTAAAAAAAATCCAGTCCCATACATTTTCATAATCCTATTTTTATCAAACAGCAACTTTAGGCAAACATGACAAGCAAGGCATTTGAAATTCGGAAACACGGCCGACGATCTTTGAGCAGACACCAGTTGAGCCAAAAAAACAATGATTTTGTGAAAAACTTCAAAAAATTTCTCACTGAAACTACCATTTTGAAATAAGTTACGAGCCATTAGTTAATCTTGAATTTCCATGAAAATGAGTATGTCAGCTGGTATTCAACTGTGAATCAACATAAGTGATTCAACTGATTTTGTTAAACTAATGTTAACCCGAAAAAAAGTCTACCTTCCGATTTGATAACGCTTGATAATCGCAAGCGTAATTAATATTGAGGATTATGTTTTTGTTTTTTCCAAGCGAAGACAATTTGCAAGTACGCCAAGAACAATAACATCGACCACGTGATCATGGGCACACGTGGCTTCTCCAAGATCAGAAGAAAACTACTCGGCAGTGTGAGCGACTACGTGTTGAACAACTGCATTGTATCCACCACCGTAGTCAGACAACCCCATGAAGACAAGTGAAGAGAGGGAGGAGAGGGGGATGATATGGAGATAAAGGAGGAGTTAGGAACATATTATGTGTTCAAGATGCAGACAAACAATGAATGCTGTCTGAGATCTTGCAGTTGAATTCATTCGTAGTTGCGTTTTAGATATATGTTATCAATATTAATTCAATTCTTGTCTGGATCTGTTCCTGATAAACTTTTTCGATATAATTTTCGGGAGGAATGCCATGTTTTTGAGTTTTTCCCGTCTCGGGATTGAAATTTTGAAGCTTCTGTGAATTTAACGGTGAGGTATCAACGCGCCGAAAGTCAGTTTGCCGAAATTATCAAGTGTATCAAGTTTCCGAAAGTAGAAAAAATTTCTGAACAAATTGGCTAACAACATTTTGTGTGCTGGAACCTTGCAGCTCGTGAAGACTTTTGAATCATTTATCTGATAATGTATGTCCGTTTTGCTGCTTAAATCTTTCTTTGTACATTAAACAATAGCTTTCAAAAGTGAAGTCGAGATTACCCGGGTTGACCGCCATACAGTAAAAATGCTAGCCATACAGTTCCATACAATTTGTCTATGAAAAAATGCTAGTCATACAGTTCCATACAATTTTTCTATGAAAAAATGCTAGTCATACAGTTCCAATATTTTGGGAATTGTATGACTAGCATTTTTTTGGAACTAAAAATGTTTCTCGATTGGAAACAAAAACTCAAGAAATTAACAGTTAACCTCATAAAAATAGTCTTTAGTTAAACGTTGATCTCAAAATTAACTGGAAAAATTTTTTTGAATTTTTTTCCGAAAAAAAAGTATTGAAAAAATGCTAGTCATACTGTTTCCATACTATGGGTATTGTATGACTAGCATTTTTTTCGAATTAAAAAACTTTTTAAATTGAAAACAAAATGTCGTTAAAATAAAATTTAACCGCATAAAAATAGTCCATAGTTAAACTGTGATCTCTGAATGTTCTGAAAAAAATTTTTTTGATATTTTTTCCGAAAAAAAAGAGTTGAAAAAACGCTAGTCATACAGTTTCCATACTATGGGAATTGTATCACAAATGACTAGCAGTTTTTTCGAAGTAAGAACTTTTCTCCACTAAAAACCAAAGGTCGTTAGGTGAAAAATTTACATAATAAAAATAGTCTATAGTTGAACAGTAACGTTTTGATTTTTTTCCGAAAAAAAAAAGCTGAGAAAATGCTAGTCGAGCAGTCTTCATACTATGAAGATTTCACGGACCTCACCAATGGATGTATGCAAAATGCAGTGCACGAAAAAAAAGGAGTTTTGCTTAAATTCGCATTTCCCTCAAGAATTAGATGGTGTCCCTCATGATAGAGGGACCGAATGTTGGAAATTTATTTTCACTTATTTTGAGCCAACCAGAATTGAGTATTCAAAAATCTCAAAGAAATTGAGAAAAACTCAAAGAAGAATACAGAATCCCGGCCATAGATTGTTTTTGACCGATTAATAAATAAAAGATGAAATTTCAAATTTTGCGATGAAATTTCCAAATCCAATAATGGAAAAACCTAAAACCGATTTTAAAAAAAACGAAAAACAAAAGAAAAAAAATCAGTTGATCCGCACAAATTATACTATGCTGAGCCGCTACAATTAATTCTGTTAATGAAGACTTCGGTTTCGGTTATGTGCAAAACTCGATTAGCCAATCGGATCGGAACGTCTAACGATTCTTATTGGTAGAAAGTTTTCCATCATGCGGTCCCTTTATTATGAGAAAAAGCCCAACTAGACACTTAGTACCTAATAAACCTCGATAACTTTCCAAAAGGTTTGGTTCATATCATAGATGACAGTAAAAAAAAATTACGGCAATTTCGGCAACCTGATACTTCGGCCCTTGATTCTTCACGCCTAAAACTCATCATTTTAAAAATATGTATAGAAAGTAGAAGATATAAAACCCAAAACAATAAACTTTAAATTAGAATTTTTTCATTTCCTTTGATGATATTAGCGCACTGCACTCACTTCAACTTCAGCCAGTAGTTTGGCTGTCAAGTTTCGGTATATATTAGAAATTTGACTTTTGTGACTGTTAACAAAGCTGGCCTACTTTTATTTACAAATTCTGAACGCATATTGTTTGAGCTCTTTGGATTGAAAAAAATAACAGCGCAATTTCAGAATTTTTTTCCCTAAAAGCAGCGAAAGTAAAAACAAGAAAAAAAATTTTTTTTTTGGTGTTTTTAGGGAAAAAGAAAATTTTGAAATTGTGCTGTTATTTTTCAACCCAAAGGGCTCAAACAATATGCGTTAAGCAATATATATACAAAAAATAAACGCTTTGTAAATAAAAGTAGGCCAGCTTTGTTAACATTCACCAAATTCAAATTTCTAATATTTACCGAAAATTGACAGCCAAATTACTGGCTGAAGTTGAAGTCAATGCAGTGCGCTAATATCTTCAAGCAAAGGAAACTAAAAAATTCTAACTATAAAGTTTTTGCGTTATAATTTTCGGTTCGATTTAGTTTTACAATGAAAAACTGTGGGAAAATTCAAGGTAAGTCAGAACATTCATTTTTACCCTGATACGCTCAATTTGTGTTAAGTGAAGGTTTTTTTTTAAATCAGTCAATTATCTATTTGGTTCATTTTTTAACATTTTTGTTTCGTTTAGGTCCACGTTTTACATTACTAGCAGAGTTTGCACATAGCTAGCCAGTTTTTCTTCATTGTAGGACATCCATAAATGTTTCTCTAGGGTAAGAAATCAAGACTCCTGCACTTGGTCCTTGTACCGCGGAAGCACACACTGGAAGCACGGAGCACGGCAAAAGACAGCCGGCACTTCACCCAGTTCATAGTTTTACTATAGGGTTTCTCCCACTTGATAGATAATGCTTCTCCTATTCTCCGAAGGAAATTTGCAAACTCTGGAGCGAGTATCCCATCAACAGACACGACAAGAGGAGTGAAAGACATATGTCTTATGTCTTTCCTTACACGCGTCTGAATATTTTGTCTTTTTCTCAACCTCTGCTGAGTGCAAAACACTCATGGGGCTTCTGCTCTGATAGGAGATGGCGTCGGTGTCAGAGACACGAATATCAAAAGACGCTCCTCCCTGTCTAACATAAACTCCACGACAAAAGAAATCTGCAATTAATGCGGGTGTCTCATCTTGCGGGTTGTATTCTCTAATAACAGGCTCTCTCTGTACATCCTTCCACACTAAAGAAGCTAAGTCGCCTACAGCATCCCTAATCTCATTGTGCCGTAAAGTTAAGAGTCCATCTTTTTTACACGCTAACGCATGCCGTAGGGTGAATGGTGACTGACAACCATCACAAAAAGTTGGCGAAGCGTCCAAGTTTTTGTTATACCGGACACTCAATGCATCCCGAAACTCCACTTCCGAAAGATCAAAGTTTTCTGCAGCAATCGATAACGCTGTCAGCCAGGCAGACAAGCTTCCTTCATCTATTCTTTTTACTGCGCGAACTTGGTCTGCTGGTAGCTCATTCAATAACTCCCCCAACAACTCTTCATGTTTTTCTTCCATTATTTGATGATGTTTTTTCCGCGATCGAGACACTTGCTTTCTGTGGTCTTCATAAGAAAAACCGTGCTGATCAACAATAGCATCATAAAGAACCGTAACTGCTTCCCGTGACGTGTTGTAAGACTCATCAGCGAAACTGGTTGGGTTAGACACTCCAAGACCACCCTTTCTTGCTGGCAAACAAAAGAGAAGTCTCTCCATTGATGAAATCGACGAAGTTCCAAGTATCGCAGGTAAGAATTTCTCCATCAGAAGGTTCTCTAGCGGTTGAAAAAGCTGAGTAGAACCACCCAAAACACGATGGGAAAAACTCCATTCCGCTTGTAGGGACTTAGTCAGTCCTGATAAAGCACATTGGGGTTCTGTTTTTGCCAAAAAAGAAAGTTTCTCAATTTTGTCTACCCATTCAAGTTCTTTCTTTTTCAGATAGATGTTCTTCTCATTTCCGTCTCCAATGGAACCGCCCAAAAACCTCTTCCCTTCCACTATAGTAATCGAGTACTAGTCAAATATGTGATGCGCTTCTTCAGCATATTGTTTATCGACAATCAGAAAACTTTTGGAAGGCTCTGGAAAGTAACCGAAGGCGGGATCTTCCTCAATCAAGTTTTTGAGCCATATCTCCAATTTCTTGAGTTTTGCTATGGCCGCAGAATCATCAGCATACCAACTTTGTAACACCTTGTTCGGATCCTTTAACTACCGAATCAGGGGAAGAAGTAAAACACCATAGAAGAATATTGCCAGTGGGTCTCCCTGTGTTGTTCCTTCCCTACTGTATATCACTTCATCGGCGCCCGCAACGAAAAGCGACGCGAAGCCTCTGTAAGTATTGAAGAGAAATCTAGAACATCTAGGCCACAATATTCGAGCATTCCACAACGCTGTTTCACGATTGAGTGAGTTGAAAGCATTTGATGCATCCATCAACAGCATGCCACGGCCATCTTCCTTGTTGTCATCAAAAACATCAGAGAGCGCATGAATTGCACCTTCAACGCCAGCTTTCAGCCCACAAGCTAATTGATCAGTCGAACATAATTCTTCAAGGTCAATTTTTGTGAACTCAGCCACACTTTTGCAAATTGTTCTCCGTAGACACTCACCTATGCAAGTGTAGGGTTTTTGCTTTTTGCGTAACTTTCGCAAATGAAAAAGAAGCATGCTCACAACGGATTGTAGAGCTTTCGAAGCCACTGGCAGAATTTTTGCGCTCAGCTCAATTATGTTCAGGCAAATTCAAATTTTAACAAACTTTATAGACCTTTGGCGAGAAATGTATATTATTTGTGGATACCATTCATTACAATTTGACTAAGCTTCGAAAGTAAGAGTTTAAAGGTGAGCGTAAACTTGAAAAAACTCGACAATTTGTATAACGTCAGAAACGAAGTGGTGACCCGACTTTAAAATGAAATTAGCTTGACTGCAATCAATTCTCGTACATAACTGTCCTATAAAAAATACAGGATTTAAAAGAACGCGAAACTTGCCGTTTTCTAATAATGCGTTAGGTAAAAAGCGGCTTAATCACGGTTCAAAGTTAACCGCAAGCACACTAGACCAAACCAACGGGTCCCAAAAAACGCAGTTTTTCATTTAATTTTCAAAATTTCCATTTAAGCGTAGAGCATCTATTCAA